GGAGGACCCTTTGCTGTGCGGATTACACCAAGTTGCAAATGGACTGACATGAATCCGCACCTGCCACGTAGAACTTGACCGGAATGCTGCTTTCGAAAGATCTCTCCGTGTCGCTCTTCGAATACCGGCAGCTGTAAAATCCAGAGGTCTCCTTGGAAGCTGTGAAGGTGAACTGGGTGCTCCCATCATGAGGAGGGGTCTCTTCATAGGTCAGCCCCTCTCTGAGAAGTGAGAACTCGAACCGCATCCCCGGAGCGTCCCTGGGGGCCAAGCACTGGAGGGTCACCGTCTCTCCTGGCCGATACAGAGGACCTGGAGGGTGTGCAGAGAGCCTGGGAGCCGGAGGGGCGTCTGTGAAGCACCAGGAGAGAAGAACTGCATGAAGAATATTTGGAGTCACGTGCCCCTCCCAGCCTCCCGCTCCCTTTACGGGCACCATCTCCCCCTCCGCAAAGCCCTCTGGCTGGACAGCGCTGGACCCTCCTGGGGGTTGTGCCCCAGGGACAAGCTGACCGTGCCTGGCCAGGACTCACCCGGGCTGCACCCGCCCGGCTACCAAAACCACACCACGATGCTGCCTCCCCTGCCCTCCCCTGCCCTCCCCTCCCCTCCCCTCATCAAGATTTCCATGGCAGGACCAGGCAGGCAGTGAGGGAGCGATTGCTGCTGCAATCCCAAATCACACCAAATCACGCTCCCACAAGCTCCACGAGTTGCATGTTTTCCGATGAAGTATCCAGCGTTCCTGGTGCCAGAATCCGTGGGGGAGAAAAGAGACAGCATGGAAACAGGCCATGCGCAGCCCAGAGCCAGCCTGCTGCCTGCCCCCACCCGCCCTCTGGGGCCCCTCGTCCCCCCACAGGGGGACACAAAAGCCCCATGTTTCAAAGACTCCCAATCCCCAAGTGGCTCTGAATTTGGGGGGTTAATATGTTCTTCAGAAGAGTTAACCCTAAAGGCAGTACATGAGAAATTAAAGAAAATGAAGTCTCAACTACTCCAGCTATACTTCACTGCTTTGACCATGAGGAAAGCGGAAAATGCTGGACCATCCCCTGTTCACATGTTGGTAACACGCAGATGACAGCGTTAGATTTCCAAGCAACAAGAAGGACACCTACCAGAGANGATCCCAGAAGTGCCAGGATTTGCATTTCCTTTCACAGAACAATCTGGCATCCCTGCTGCCAAAATCCATGGCGGAAGGAAGAGGCAGGGAGGGAAACAACCCCAACGCAGAGGCTCTAAAATCTGGGGAATTGGTGCATTTTTGGCGTGTTTGGAAGAGCGATCCCAAAAGCCAGCAGATCATGAATTCAAGAAAAAAAATCCCTCAGCTTCTCCACGGATTCTGCACTCCCCTGTGCCCGAGGAAAGCATTAGGTTCCAGGACATCCCCTTTCCACACATTGTTAACAACTCAGTAAGATTGGAGTGTGTTAGATTTCCAAGCAACAAGAAGGACACCTACCAGAGATGGTGATCATGGCCTGGTTGCTCTTTTCAGAGTGCCATCGTCTGCCTTTCCTGTTTCTGCCCAAGTAACTGCATGCAAATGTTTCCTTTGCCTTCAGGTGTAACGTGGGGACCACAAAGTGATTTTGCTGCCGTTGTACCAGTTCGGTCCATTTACCCCCTTCTTTTAATTGGTGGAAGAAGAACCACTTAGCCTCCTGTCCTCCTGGGGGGGAGCAGTTCAAGTGGATCGGCTCCCCTCGAGAAACAACACTGCCTGGAGGGGACCAGGATAATTCTGGGGGTGACAGAAGCTGCCATGCAGACGTCTCCTCGGCACCTTAGAAAAAACATGGTTTCCATGTGGGACACGGTTCCCTCTCCCAGGAATTTGGGAGAGCCACTCCACAGGCTCTGACCAAATCCACGCAGTGTCCTCCTCCCAGGCCCCCTGGCTTTGCACCGTTCAGGACGGAGGCAGCTGAGCTCATTCAGGCCCATTCTCGACAGCTCCCCAAGTGAGAAAAGTCCCCCAGAGCTGCACTCACTGTGGCCCAGACTGAGGCGTTCAATCCCACGACTGCAGTCCTGCCTTTGGCGGCAGATTCCGCATCTCTCCATGAAGGAACCTCCAGCCAGGGGGCCCAGGAGGCAAAACCTCCACCCCTGATGCTGATGCTTGCATGGAGTCCCCAAACAGAGGCCTGGAAGCGGAGAGGACGGCCAGGAGGGTGAGGCAGCTCCATCTGGCACGCTCCCCCTGTTGCTTCACAGAGTGGACTCTCCCTGTTGGATTTCCTTCAGCTCAGAGGGGATGTTCCAGGTGAAAAAGAGGTGGCAGGAAAAGATGAGCCTCCAGCTGCACCCACCCAAGACGGGCCCCTTTCAGGGACTCAAAGGCGGATCGACTTACCTGCACAGGCTGCCTGCCAGAGGAGGATCCTGAGCAACCCTGAGAGCGGAGAACAAGGCGAGCAGTGAGAAGTGGGAAGGGGAAGGTGCAGGGGGTCCCTTCGGAGGTGGGGGGAGAGGAGGAAAGGCTCCCACCTGTCAGCAGTGTGGGGAGATCCATGCTCGGGCGGGATACGTGTGCACCCCCTCAGTTGCCTACTCGGCCCCTTAGCGGCCTGCTCTTCTATCTCAAGAGAGAGAGAGCCAGCCAGAGCCGCATCCTGGCCCCTTCCACCCGCCCTGAGTGCCCACGCCCAGCAAGC